TCGCAGAGTTAATGTGTTCTGACTGGACTCTGATAGATACCCCATTCCTTATGGGAGACCACAGGCCAGGACTGCCCCCTGGGGCCAGGCCCCCACCCTGCCACCCACCAGCCCAGGCCTCTTGCCTAACTATGCTGGGCAGCAACTCCTGAAAATCCTCTGGTCTCTCTCTGGTTGTGTGCCTCAGAAAGACCCTCTTCAATTCCACAGCAAAGAGGTTAAGTTTGCCAGCAGGACTACCCAATGGTGCATCAGAAAAGGTTCCAGTTATTCACCCAGCCAGCTGAAACCAGCAGTGTGTAGGGCCATCCTGTCAGAAAAGCTTTTACTGATACTTCCTGTGCACATTTCCAAAAGAAAGGAAGGAACCTGGGCTCTGCCTCAGAGAGGCCAAGTATGTAGGGCCTGCCCAATTATTGCCTCAGCAAATGATATGGGGTCAAGAATGACTTCTGTACACTCACACGTGGAAGGCCAGGAAAAGTCCCAGAGGAGGTGGCTCCTAGAAGATGGGCAGTATTTTCCTGGGCCAAGAGGTAAAGCGGAAACTGCAATCCCAGAGAGAGAACTGTCAGAGTCAGAGTGAGGCCTGGCCAGCAGGCACAGGGCCCTGGCTTTAAAGGTAACCACAGCAGAGCTGATAGATGGCAATGCCTCCTTTTCCTTTCCTCCTCAGCTGCCACGTTTTGTCATAGTGTGTGTGTTTCATGTGATGCAGAGGGAAATGAGGGAAGTAAGCCTGTCTTTGGCAATACCATCTCTTGGTAGCACAAAGCTACCATAAAAGCACTGGATCAGCACTGATTCTTAACTCAGGCTTACACTTTGGTGAACCTGGGTTTGAATCCGACACCCCAACACAACTGGCTGTGTAACCTTTGGCAAGTTACTTATGTAAGCCTGTTTCTTCATCTGTAAGAACAGAATGAAGATGCCTGCCTTCACAAGAGTGTAATGAAATGAAATGCATTAATATAAAGTAACATCAGTACTCTGCTGACCCTATGTTGAAATGAAAAAAAGGGCCACTCAGCAGTCTCCTGTGGAGGTTACTTTGCCTCCGTGACTTTGGCCCGAACTGAGGAGGCTATCAGAGTTCCACAGCCTTGGAAGTCAGTAGCTGTACCTGTAGCAGGCAATTCTTCCTCCTATACATCCCACTCCAGCTCCACCTGTGTGCCACATTCCCTAAGCCAAGCCCGCATGCAGGAGGAAGTGCCTTGCTAAGATGTCATGCTTATGAGCCTCTAACAGTCTTTTCCCTCTACCAGTGCTCACCCACCTCCCAGCCTCCCTGGCCATCCCTGAACCAATGTTGCCACCAGACTCCAGGGCCAAGCCTTTAATTCCACTTGTGAGCTATATGGGGACAAGGGCATGGTAAACTTTAGCAAGTCATTCCTAGCTCTTGTCATAGGTCCTGACATATAGTAGATGCAAGGTGAATGTTTAATGAAAGAAAGCTTTCCCTGCTCCTTGCCTCTGTTCTCATAGCCACTACCCTGGCTCTGAGGTACCCAAGCCCTCCTGCTTACCTTACTATACCTTCCTTTTGGCCTCCCTGTCCACAGACTCTTCACTAGTCCTTCCTAATAAAGTAACAGATTGCCCAATATGAAGTAACAGATTGCCCAATATGAAGGACAATTCTGAGTCAGTCCCCTTTCTAAGTCCTCCTATGGCTCCCCTCCAATGTCTCACCAACCCTCTCCCAACCTACAGCTCTATCTCCCAGCAAGCCTCCTCCTCCCTCTCAACACCTCCACACCACTAACATCACTCCTCATGGCACTGTGGGAGAACCAAACAGACCCTAGAGATGGCTAAGTGTGGGGTCTACATAAGCCTCACCCAGCATTACCCAATGCTGTCTAACCACCCTTCCACCCCCCCTTCCCAACACATATACCACTCCCTACTCCAGGCTGGCAGCTCCTCACACAGTTAATTAACACCATGTCACTGAGGACCAGCCTGAGTGGCCAGTGACAGGAGCTGACCCCTGACCCCGGGGCTAGGAAGCAGTCCACATCAAACTCTTACAGCGCGACCCTTTTAGCACGCATAGTAACTCAGGGCACCGCCAGCTGAAGCTCATTAAAGCTGTCTCTCTGGTGCGAGGGCCATTAACCTCATTGCTCAAAATCCACACCTCCCCTCCCCACCTCTCCCAGCCCAATTAATGCCCTGCATTCTCCCTCCCTTCCAAACACCCTCACCCACACCTCAGAGCCAGCTGGGAGTTGGCAGGGCAGCCCTCTTCATTCCAAGACTACAAAGACCAAGTGCCAAGAACTACCAATGCCTTGGAAGCCTCTGGTGTTGGCAGGCTACAGAGAGGGAGCTCCCTGAGCACCTGTGGTGAGCCAGGAACTGCCCAATCCCTCACACAGGCCACTCCCTAGACCCTCTCCCAATAGCCCTGCAAGGCAGAGAGCACTACCCCTCACCCAAAGTCCCAGGGTTGGACATGGTAAAACCAGAGCTGCCTCTTCATTCAAAGCCAAGACTTCATGTCTCTCAGAGTCTTAAGCTCTCTCCCTCCCCACAAGGGAGAGATGGAAAATTTTCCTTCTCTAAGGGAGAGGCTACTTCAGGGACCTTAACCCCTAGTCAACAGGAGTGAACAGACAAGAGGGTTGCACTGAATCTCATGGGACAACGGAATGGGTAGAGGAAGCTACTTCTTACAAATGCACCTGGGACATAATACCTGCACACTGAACCAGGACAGAAAGCTTAAGACCTTGTTGGGTGTGTGACCCAAGACCTGCTGTTCCTCTCACCACTAGACTCCATTTCTGGTAGCTCTTTCTCTGCCAAATGAATGTAGGCCTTCTCATTGGTCCTTTCTCTTGGTGTCTCCTTTGCCCATCATTCTTCTATTGATTCATTTATTCACCCAGCTTTTCATATATGTCTCTATAAGCACTTAATAAGCAACTATGCTAAGAACTAATTTGTGCAGCACAAATTGCCTGATTGTGAATAAGAGCTCTGACCTTGTTCTTTCATACATATGTCTTCTCAAAACCCCAGGGGGTATAAAATCTATTTTTTGGGGGTGTGTGGTAGTAGAGATTGAACTCAGGGCATCAAAAAATGACAACTTTTTTGTTGTTGTTGGTCGTGAGGCTTGAACTCTGGGCCTGGGCGCTGTCCCTCAGCTCTTCAGCTCAAGGTTAGTGCTCTACCACTTGAGCCACAGCGCCCACTTCCGGCTTTTTTTGTTTATGTGGTGCTGAGGAATTGAACCCAGGGTCTCATGCATGCGAGGCAAGCACTCCACCACTGAGCCACCTTCCCAGCCCCCACAAATTACAACTTTTAATCAGGAATTCAAACTGCTTATTTCTGTTGATTTTCTGTAAATTTTTATACTCCAGTACTGGAAACTACTTGTTGATATCTAAACCTATTCTCTCAATATACTGGGCTTTCTCATGCCCCAGGCCTTTCTACATGCATTCTTCCAACTTAGAATACCCTTCCTTCATTTTTCTGACTAGCAATTTTTTATTTATCCTTCAAGGATTTCAAGTGTCCTCTTCTCTGAGAAACTTCCTTCTGACCTTCCTCACCTTGCTGGATTTGTTGGCTTATGTAGATTACAACAAAAAACCTCTGTGGGGGAACAGGAGCTAAGGGTACCCCCAGATTTCAAGGTTTGTTGGCAACTTCCTCTTTTTTCCTGGACCCTGGGAGGTCTTGGGGTATCTCAACAAGAATGATATATGGCATCCCAGCCGTATATTTACATGAGATGTAAATTATGAAGCAAAAGCTACTTTGACAACTGAGAATAGGAAAAACCTCCCTTGAGGCAGTGTAGGTGTTTTCATCATCAACTTTAGTATGCTGACCGGCAAGCACCTCTTTTGGTCTTTTGTCTCTTCCCAAGATATAAGCTCCCTCAGTATGCTCAGCACCCAGTTGGCACTAATGAAAGTGGAATGGACAAAGGGGCTACTGTGTACAAGGTGTTTCCAATTTCCTGGAATCTCTATGAATGATACCTTCCCCAAAGTAATCAGGTCATGGTGCCACTTAGGAACACCTTGGATCCGCCAAAGTGTTGAAACAAAGCGTATGCCTGGTCAAGGAAGTTGCTTGAAAGCAATCACATGCACACATCTGTGTATGCACACAAAAAAGATACAATGAAATGAAGACATTCTTTCTGACAGACACACAGACACAGGCTGGTTGTGCCTTCCATAATCAGACACTTGTCCTCAGAAAAATACAAGTATGTTATTATACACACATACCCTCAGTCAGATACACACTATCATGGGCACATTATATTCAGATAGATACACAGAGCTATACAGCTAAAGGTGTCATATATAGGCAGACATAAGGATACACACAGACATATGCATACCGATGTATCAGAAGCTTACAGTCACTCCAATCTCCCCAAAGCAGGAACCCTCTTGAAGCTGTACTCCACCTCGTACCCCAAATGGCCCCTCCCCACCCAGGCACTATTCAATGGAGGCTGCTGTTCCTGTGGGGGAGTCAATACCCCGTGGACGAAGCCATCGGTCAGAAAGACCTCGACTAATTAAAAGCTGGTAAGGTTTAAATAATTCATCTCCTTAACTCCCATTGATCGTCCAGTTTAGTGGCTAGACTTGAAACAATATTAAACAGCCTCCTCCAGCTCCACACAGGGTGTGGGGGTGGGTAAGCTAACATGTGCCTACATCCCTGATGACACTGCCCATCAGGGATACAGACAATGGGAAGGGGGATCTTGACTTGTATCCAAAGCCACCTGTGATTCACCTAAAGCCCATGCCCCTCTGAAATGTTCTGAGAGGTCCTTTTCAATGGTCCTACTCCACCATCCTCCCCCTAGCCCCCAAACCCAGCTATGATGAAAACATGGTTGGGGCATTGAATAAGTTATATAAACCCTCTGCATGCCAGGGGACTGGGGCATGCGGGCAGGGACTGACCGAGCTGTCAGGGGGATTTGTGGAGGGACTGACCAATGCCGCTGTGGGGCCGGCCTATGTGTTGCAGGCTGAGGCCCTTGTTCATGTCTAGAAGTCCATTCTTGGGCCAGCAGCCCATGGCGAAGCTGTAAGCCTGGAAGACAGGAGGCAAGAGTGGTTAACGGAGATCCTGACCCTTGAACCAACCCCACTCAACAGGTTCCATCCAGCCCCCAGATCTTCCAACCAACGTATTATGCCACCTCATGGGATTCCCTTTACTAGATTCCTTTGTCACTAAAGCTTTCCCACCAGAAAACCCCATCTTTCTTCAGAATCCTTTCTCCAGGGCTTCTTTCCATCACAGTCCTCTAACCCCTACAAGGGGGTCCTCTCTAGAAAGCCCCCCACTTACTAAGATCTTCCTTATGAAAGAGCTCTCCCTTTATCAAAACACCCCTTCATCATATACCCATCTGTAGATTTCCACATCTCTGGAGTCCCCAGAACTTTTCTGGGTTTCCTTCCCCTAGTATAACTGGTCAGAAAGACTGGCCTAAGGAAGGACCCTGGAGATCAGTGTATCCAAAATTCACTCCATAGTCAGGAATAATGAAGCAAGAGCTAGCCAGTGACGTGCCTTATGGTCAGGTTGCTTTTGACTCCAAGCAGGCAAGACTGTGAAGGGCTCTGAGTGTTATGTGTGGGTTCAATGGAGGAGGGGAGTGAGGTTATCTGGTTGACTCAGGCAGCTGTGAGTAGAAGAGTAGTACATGGTGTGCGTGTGTGCATGCAAGTAAGTGTGTGTGTGTGTGTGGTGTGTAAGTGTTGGGGGGGGGAAGCAGATGCTCTGTTGAAGGTCAAGTGCTCACTTATGCATATTCAAAGCTGCCACCCATCGATCTGTACTTAATTGTTTTCCTGGGGTTGGGGAAGGAAGTGCTGGGGGCATCGATCTGCTCAAGCCCCCAGCACTCCATTGTCCCTTCCATTCCCTATTGTACCACCAGCATCCTCCTTCTGAGGGGAACAGAGGCAGGTTAGGGACAACATCTTCCCTTATAGGCATACCTGGCCCAATGTTACACATGAAGGAACAGACCCAGAGAGAGGAGATTTACATGGGTTAAAACACTAACAAGGCTAGATTGGATCTAGTTTTGGCTTAGCCTACCAACAAAGTCCTGGACTTCTGCCAGTGGACTTAGTAGTTGACTCTTTAAACATTACCCATCCCCTTAAATACTAGTCTGCACTTTTCCCCAATGGCAGGAAGGTAACAGCAGGTGTTGCAGTGGGTGTGGGGATAAAACATGAGTGTGTTCCTGAAAGTTCATGTTAGGTCTAATGATGAAACCAAAGTGATATGCTCAGAAAGGCACTATAGTGCCCACAACTCATTTCTGGACCCACAAGGTCCAGCATAGGGTCAGATATAAAAGACAAGAGGCTGTCCAGACACAGTGTCTATCCTGACAGAGGGCTAGTACCCTTCCTTCCTGGGTGCAGGAACCAACCTTCCAGCCCCAAGAACTAGGAGACAAGGAGTCAATATACTCAAACTTCTGTACCTTCCCAAACCATTTTCCTTGACCCTGAAGTACCAACCAAAGCTCAACTCCCAGGCAACACTCCTCCACAGTCTCCTAGGTCACAGCTGTACCCATAAATAGGAGGATGAGTGTGGGACCCAAGGGGTGGGTAGAGCCAGGGCAGAGCCAGGACAGAGGCATCAAGGGGATGCAGCCAGTGGGTGAGGCACAGCTGGAGGGAACCGCTGAGCATAGCCAGGCTATGGAACGCAGTGGGCCAGAGAGCAGTGGCGGCTGCCTTTCAAGTACTTTAAAATCACTTACAAAGGCCGGATTAAACGATCAGAAATTCCATTTAATAGGACAAATAAAGAAATAACAATCTACTCTATCAGCCTGGAGAAGGCAAGCTGGATGTTTTTTTTTTTTTCCTCGAAAAAGGAAAAAGGGAAGGAAGGGGAAAAAAAGAAGGATAATGTGTGTTTACTCAAGCAAAGAAAAAAATATTTAAGTGATGTCGGGGAGAAGATTGCAGTAACTAGTGAAGAATAACATCGTCTACTTTGCTGTCAAATCACACCCGAATTTCAGTAATAGATTCTCGGCTGACACTCAATTCAATTCGAAGGTGATCCTGCTTTATCCCAGCCCATCAAATATTAAACACTTGCATTAGCAGGTGCTGCCGCTTCCCGGCTTAAAGCGGCGGGCGGGCGGCAAGGCTGCTGAGAGCCCCTCCACTCTGCTTGGGCTCAGGGACAGGGCAGCTCAACGTTATCTGCACGTCATCCTGAGTCTTATCTCAGCTAAGCGGGAAGACCACTCCAGATAACATTAGACACTTGCCCTGATGCGTCACCATGATTAGATTATTATTGTAATTATGACTCCCAAAGATCCTCCAAAGACTGAGATGTGAAGAAGGGGGATGGAGGGTAGCAGAGCCCAGGAGGGCCAAGGTGGACCTGGGCAAGCTGAGGTGCCAGGAAGGAGAACAGAGCTACCCAGTAGGGTGGCAGTCCAAGGCTGCCTGATGAATGCCTTTCAGGAAGGGCGGTCTAGCTTGTCAGAGAGAGGGTAAGATGAATTGGTGTCTCCACTGTGGCTGAGGTGTTATACCACACGGTTCCACATTCCCAAATAAGGCCTGACAACCCATTGCTGCCATGACACAGCCTCATCCAGCACTTCCTCAGGGAGTGGGGATGAGGTGGAGGAGGGGTGGCATGAGCACATGGGTCTGCCAAGTTCCTAATAAGAGGGATTTAATTTTTACAAATGCTGCTTCCAGCGGGGCCTTCACATATCAGCCAAAGTCCAAAATGATATTAAAAACGGTTAATTAAAACTGCTCTCCTTCAGTCTGGGCTCTCCTGCTGATGCCCCTGCTGAGAACTCTAGCATGTCTTCCCGGGTACTGATGCACTGTTAGGGCCTACCCTTTGGACATAACAACTAGCAGCTTAGGCCTAGAACCATCCTCTTCTAGGGTCCAGCACCTCGAATCCCCCATAATTCCTGACGTACCAGGTACCTGTCAGGCATAACCAGAAATCACAGCAACCCAGAAGACACAAAAGGTCCTACAGCAACCCGTGCTCCTGATGTTGTTATTTCCCAGACTCTCACATGTACTTCCTCACTGTACCTATGCCCACATACTCCAGTACCCACTTTTGAAGCCCTTCCCTCTCCACAGACGTATGCATATATACGTATATATGCATGTGTGTATGTATATCATGTGTGGCCCAACCACATATACATTCATCCTCCCATATATGCCTTAGACTTTCCTTCAGGGATTCTGCCCACCCTGCCATTCCCTATTCCCACTGGACATCCTCCTTATCTGTCTACAAATCTTAGCAGAGGTAATATGAGTTGTATCTCTAGGGATTCTGGCTGGATAGTCAGGGTGGCATCCAGGGATCAGGGAGGCTGAAACCTGTGGATTGCTCATGGGGGACAATGAAGACAGGCAGGCCTTAGGTGGGGGTCGGGGGTGGGGCTGAAGGATGCAGGGAAAGCTTGCTAGAGAGAAACCGGTACTAGGGAGGACAGAGAACAGATGACACCGCAAGGACAAAGGAGAAGGGCAGAGGCAGGAGGGTTCATCTTTACCCATCCACTTCCCCCTGCTTCATGTCTCTGTTCTTTCCTTCTCTCTGGACAGCCTATAGGAAATGGGGGTAAAAGGCCCAGAAGCTGGCATATCCATCAATTTTGATTGGTATGAGGGAGGAATCATCTTTAAGAGCTCCCTTACAAGACCTTGTGCCTGAACCCCTTTCCCATTGCTGGTTCCAGACTCTGGGTACCACTTCTCCAGCTGTACCTCTCAGCTATCAGGGTCTACCTGCCCAGCTGTATAGTCAGGCATACCTAACTCTTGGGGTTCCTGACCAGAGAAGCTTTTGAGTCCTGTCCACCCAGGCTCCAATGCCAAGCCACCAGGACAGACAGAGCTGGGCTAAAGGATGCTGGTTCTGCCAAACCAACTCTGCTCTAGCCCTATGCCAGGCAGGCACGCACACTTTCTTTCCCCTGAGCTGCTGTAATTTCCATGCGCAGGGAAGCAGGTGCCGAGCTGTTCCCGGCTGGCTTTCCCCTCTCGAGGCTCTGCCCGCCTTGGCTGCTGCCCCATTAGCTTAGTGGCCAGCCATCTGCGACGGGCCTGCCTCACAGCCCTGCTGTAGGCGCGGCGGGTGGCCCCCTGTGTAACAGGGAGCTTTGCCATTAGCGCCTTTAATATTCTGACACCTCAGCACAGCCTGCTATTACATGCAAACGCTGATCGCCCTGTGAAATTACATTGCTGGGCCTGCGAAATGGAATCGTGTATAATCAGCCTCCTCCATGCACTGTCAGTCCCATCACAAACACGGCGCCCGGCAGCTTACGGGGGCTTAGCAGCTGCGACAAGTGTATTGGGTTTAATAGATGAAGTAGCCCTCAACAGCAGCATCAGATTCTTCAAAGAGGAAAAAGGAGGCATCAACAGCTGCTCTGGTGTCTCTGCCCACCCACATACTACTGATCAGCTACCTGAGAGTGGGTGGATGCCAAGTGGGCAGTGGTTGAGTAAGGGGCTAGCTCCCAGCTCAGAAGCATAGCATATTATGCAACTTCCAGAAAATCCCAAGCTCTCAAGCCAGTGCCAGCATACCTAGTCTAACCAGCATCTATATGTGGGGAGAAACAGGCCTCTAGCTGCACCTCTGGATTACTCATTACCTCTAAGCAGATGGGCCACTACCTAAGGCTAAGAAATAAATCTAACCACCTGTTATTCTCCTAACACCCACTAGAGAAGGTGCTTCTCTAGAGAACAAGGAGAGATATAAGCACTACCTAGCTGTTCATTCAAATCAACAGGGTGGGGAAGGGTATTGGGGATTGAATTCAGGGCCCTGTGCTTGCTAGGCAGGTGCTCCACTATGGCCAACTCTTCATTACACAGTAAGCCAAGTTTCAGACCATAGCTAAACACTGAAATGTGGTATGCAATGTGTACTTAGAGCATACTCAGCAGCCCTCACAGAAAGGTAGTAGCTTGGGAGTCAACAAAAATCTCCCACTGCCACCTCCACCTACCCCTGATGTCATGCAGTCTTTGAGA